AATGAATCAAAGCTAGCACCATCCTCAGTTTCATCAAACTCTTATTGATGAGTATTCTTCATGGTTTCCTCTCTATTAAGGGAGGAATATCAGTGGGTTATAGGGCTTTCTCTTTCACTGAATCCTTACTACTCCTCACATGGACATAAACTTGTTTCATATTAGGATTATTATGGACAACTGATAACACGAAAATGCATCGTATATTCCGACCCGATTCACATGCAATTTAGTGTCATTTTACTTTTTTTTTCATTGTATTATGTTCGTATTTCAGGTATTTGTTGAATAAGAATGTCCGTGTGAGAAAACCGAGAAAAGAGCAAGAAAATAAAGAAAAAGTGCAAAATTTTCCATGGACGCGCAGTGCAGAATTTGCAAGAAACAATTTTTTTGCTCAGTCCTCTCCCACTCTCCTAGATATCTCCTATGATTTCCACTCCTTTGACATCAATTTTTTAGCATCATAACACTATAAATTACAATTTTAACGTGGAATTTGGCATCCAAGTTTTGTACAAGTTTGGGAAGTTTAGTTTTAAGCAAATATTCAGTACTAAAAAGTGGTAATCTCTAACATCAAGAGACTACTGCACCATTAGTTTTAGAGTTTAAGTTTCAACCATCGTAACTTGCTTGGATCAACAATCTTTCCTTCAATTTAATTGCAGTTTTTATTTCAGGTTCATTTACTTTTATCGCAATTTATTTTCTGGCCTTTATTTTCCGCCATTTATAATTCTACTTCTTTTATTTTTCTCCATTTATATCTTGCTTTACGAATTCTGCCATTGTTATTATTTTAAGTTTTATCACTTTACTTTATTTCGCAAACTTCGCTTTAATCATTTTTAAAACGCTTGTTATGTCTGCGTTTAATTTGAAAACCCAAAATTGTTTATTTATTTCCGTAATCATGTTCGGCTAAATTTCTTGAGTCCGGTATGTGACGATCGTCATTCCGACGGGACTCGGTAATGTTGGCATTACACTTTTATTAAATTTTGTTTTGTCTTTAGTTTCCAAGTTTAATTCAAATGGTTGTCACGAGAGTGAAAAGAAAATAAAGGTCTGAGTCGATAACGCGAGAGTGTGAGAATTGGACCGGATAGTGGGAACTGGTCATTGATCTTAAATACAGCGAGGGCATTTTAGGCATCAATTAGGATTTATTTAGTTTTCAAAATATGCTTCTTGATTAAAATGGGCGAGCGAGATCAAAATATCATGGTTAGAAAGTGTAGCTTTAATCAATAGCGCGAGAGTGTGAGATAGAGTCTTTACACTGGTATTTTCTACTGAAATCATTTTAACGTCAAACCAATGCCAGTGAATTATTGAGTCCCTGAGGTACAATGGAATCCACATTCCAGTCTCTCTTTTAGGTTATACTTCCTAAATCTTAATTTATTTTTAATTCTAGTTTTAGTTTCCCTAAATCCAGACTTCATTAGCCTTAACTTTAGATCACAACAATAAATAACGATAGGTTGACATTTGTCTCTGTGGGTTCGACAATCTTTTATATTACTTCGATATTTCCGTGCACTTGCAGACACATCATCAACATCGTCTTTCATGTCCTTCTTAGAAGAGATTATTTTACAAATACGACATGGTGACCAATGATTTTAGAATGAGAGCTAAGGTTAGGGACGTTCACATATTCTAAATCAGCAAAAAATTGTGTGCCCTAGGTGAAATTATGTTCCTCAAGGGACAAATGTTAGACCATATGTCTGGTACAACTTATCCAACTTGTCCAACTTATTCAACCAGTTGCAACACAATATAAAAGTAATAAAGAAACAAAGTAAAACAATAAATAACACAAGAGAATTTGTAACCCAGTTCGGTGCAAACAACACATACGTCTAGAGAGAACTCTACCCAAGAAAGGAAATCCACTCTTTAATAGAATTAGTACAAAGTATATTAGATGAACAAACCTCTTGTTCAATGTCTGTCTTCTTAATTCTAACATTAGTGTCTTTCTATTTAAGTCTCCCCCTAAATATGAGAACTCTCTCTCTCTCTCTCTCTCTCTCTCTCTCTCTCTCTCTCACAATTACTAATCCCAAGTGATTAACATCAATAAGCACAATGATGAATGTTGAATGTAATTCAACTAAACAACCCAACTACCATGTCTTATGATATGAAATTAAGCAATAAACGTGTGGTGTACAAGAAATACTCCACAAAAACCCTAGCACAAATAATTAATCCTTGCGCACATACTCATGCTCAAACATGAGATTTGAGTCTCCGTAATAGAAAAGTATCTCCTTTAGATTTCTAATTTAATTTCTTCCAGAATAAAGGCAAATATTGTTGAATTTAATTTTCTCCACAAAAGTTTCCAACAAAATATATGATTTATTATTAATTCAAATTCAAATTTAAATCTCCATTTAAATTGATTTGATCTTCAAACAATTGTCAAACAAATCACATAAATATTGTTAAAAGATAACAACAAATTTTGTTGCATAATATTGCAGAAAATACGCGCCAAACCAGCAGTAACTAGTTCTGCAGACACGAGCCACATCCTAGGATATTTGTTCCCACATGTCTCCTTTCTTCATCAAAAACAGCTGGAGCCACATGTGTCATGCCAGCTAAAACATCATGGCCAACATGTGTTCATACAATATTGTTTTGCATAATATGGCCAGTCCAAAAGGAACAACACTAGACACTTCACCAAGACCTTAAACTTAGGCTCAATGCTAAGGTTAATATCCACCAGAACACGAACAAAATGACCAATGTACCGATCAAATTTAGACTTATCACTTGTGGAATCAATACATATGAGGGTTCTAACACTACTAGCAATAATGAAGAGTATTTTAAGTCTCCAGCATTTTCGAGAAAGGCCATAAAGCCTAACCTATGCCTGAGCATTTGTTTGATACTAAGCATTAGGGTTGAAATCCTTCGACCAAGCAAAACGTTTCAGGAGTCCTGGATTAAGGTTCCATGAAACTGTTTTCCTAACCTTCTGAAGTCCCTCTAAAGAAGAAATTATGAACTTGTAGAATCCCTTTTCAAGAGAGGTTAAACCCTGTTTAGCAAGAGATTTCCAAAGAGGATATAACTTAGCATGCAAGGCATCAATTTTAAATGGATTTGCACCCTTCGGCCAAATTATTCGTCAATGTAAATTATGCTTACATGCTTCAATACCAGCTAGGTATTCATCTTCTAGTATAACAATGGCGATGCAATCCCCTTTTAGACAGATTTAGGCAATTGACTTAAGGGGATGTTGCATATATTGTTGACAACTTAAGCAAATGTTATAGGTTTTGTAGCCAGTTCAAAGGATTGAGAAGGGCGAGCTTTTGATTAAGTGGCAAGGCAAGGAATGACAACGAAGCCATGAAGCAGCGGGAATGGAAGCACATATAAGTGTTGAAGGAGGGCAGTGAACTTGAGGAGTCATCAATGGGAGAAAGTTTTAGAGTTCTCTCTCCTCTCTCTAACATTTTGTCAAAAATGGACATCAATTTACTCGAGCTATGTTTGATTTTCACAAAAAAATAACTCCATTTTAAAATTAAATTTTAAAACAAAAAACCTAAAACTGACTATCACTCCGAACAAATTCAGATTTTTCATTTTGTTATATGAAAATTGATTTTTTTAAATTAAAAATAACAAAATTATTACATACTCTAGAAGTATCTTGGATGAAATTCTTTTCTTTTAAGAATTAATTTCTCCCTTAACACATTGATTTAATCACATTTGACCATATAAATTATATAAAAAAATAACATAACAAATTGAAATTCTAATATAATATTACTAGATACACATGTAAAACAAAAACAATTTACACTATAAGCACATAATATACATACATGTTTGACTAATCTAAAATTATGAGTTTAATTGATATCCACGGTCATCCAATGAAAATGTATTAATCTGTGATGTCATACAGATAACTTAAAATTTACAGTCTGATATGACGAAATGCATAAGAGTGATTGATTGACAGTATAAAATAATTTTACACTCTCAATACATATCAATAAAATTATATATATATATATATATATATATATATATATATATATATATATATATATATATATATATATATATATATATATATATATATATATATATATATATATATATATATATATATATATATATCAATCAATCAAAATCAAGATATGAAATTAAAAAGAGAAACAAAATTTCAAAAAGTGTAAGCGTAACGTTACATTAATAATTAATAAATCCAAAAGTCAAAAGCAAAGAAAGTGGTGGGTATGCAGTTTATTTTATTCCATCCAACTCACACATCTCTACAAAATTCTAAACTAACTGTCTCACAACAACAACAACAACAACAATTTCAAAAGCATCATATTCCCAATTTCTATGACTCTCATCACAACACAACACAAAGTTTTTCAAACATAAGACCAATGACTTGTCCTTAGTCTTCACAAGTACAGTTATTTTCTTGTACAAAAGGTTTCCTCACAACAAAGCATCTTAGGACAATTCTTTGCTTAATTACCTTTGCTTGGTTTCCAAGCTGATAAATTCCAACCTTATCTTCTTCTTCTAATGGTACAATTTTTTCATTTTACATATGTTTTTTCTTCATGTATGTATATATAACATAAAACACAACACAATTTCTTGTTTTATCATATACACCTATTTTTCATCTGTGGAAGTGGTTGATGTATGTATGCAATTTGTCTTTATTTCATGTTCTTACAAGATGTGTTTTTTATATATGTATGATAATCACATACGTGTTGGAGTCAGATACTGACTTGTATATGGTATACGAATTACGAACACACGTTTTCAATCAGAAGTGTTACTCATCTTGAAAAATCAATAATTTTTTTTTATGTTATGCTTCTCTAAGATTGGTTACAATATGTTTGTGAGTTGTTGTAACAGAATTTTTATTTTTGTTTTGTTTGTGATTTTTTTGATGTTCAGTGGTGAATTGTATGCATATGAAAGTTCCAATGGAGGAAAAGCCGTTTCCTGCATGGTCATGGTCAGTTGAGGAGTGTTTGAAAGAGTATGGTGTGAAACTGGACAAGGGTTTGAGTTCTAATGAGGTTCAGAAGCGGCGCGAGAGATGCGGTTGGAACGAGCTAGCGAAAGAGAAGGGAAAGCCGTTATGGAAACTAGTGTTGGAACAATTTGATGACATGTTGGTGAAGATACTTTTGGTTGCGGCCTTTGTTTCATTTCTTTTAGCGTACATTCAAGGGAGTGAATCGGGGGAGTCTGGATTTGAAGCTTACGTAGAGCCGCTTGTGATCATTTTGATTTTAGTCCTTAACGCAATTGTCGGAGTTTGGCAAGAGAATAATGCTGAAAAGGCTCTTGAAGCTCTTAAAGAGTTGCAATGTGAGTCTATAAAAGTTTTGAGGGACGGATATTCTGTTCCTGATTTGCCTGCGCGAGAGCTTGTTCCGGGCGACATTGTTGAGTTGCGTGTTGGAGATAAAGTTCCTGCTGACATGAGAGTTGCAGCTTTGAAAACCTCAACATTGAGGCTGGAACAAAGCTCGTTAACCGGAGAAGCAATGCCTGTTCTGAAAGGCACAAATCCTATTTTCATGGATGATTGTGAATTGCAGGCCAAAGAAAATATGGTATTCGCTGGCACAACTGTTGTCAACGGAAGCTGTCTTTGCATTGTTATTACTACAGCAATGAACACCGAAATCGGAAAGATACAGAAACAAATACACGAGGCTTCGTTGGAGGAGAGTGATACTCCGTTGAAGAAGAAGTTGGACGAATTTGGTAGCAGGCTAACAACTTCAATCGGAATAGTTTGTCTCGTCGTGTGGATTATAAACTACAAAAACTTCATTTCTTGGGATATTGTCGATGGATGGCCTTCAAACGTTCAATTTTCGTTTCAGAAATGCACTTACTATTTCAAAATCGCTGTTGCTCTTGCCGTGGCTGCAATACCAGAAGGTCTTCCAGCTGTCATCACGACATGTTTAGCGCTCGGTACAAGGAAAATGGCACAAAAGAATGCGATTGTGAGAAAGCTTCCTAGTGTTGAAACTTTGGGATGCACCACTGTGATTTGTTCCGATAAAACTGGTACGCTGACTACAAATCAAATGTCTGTGATGGAGTTCTTTACATTGGGAGGGAAAACCACTGCTTCTAGAGTCCTTAGAGTTGAAGGGACAACTTATGATCCAAAAGACGGAGGCATCGTTGATTGGACTTGCTATAACATGGATGCGAATTTGTTAGCCATGGCAGAAATATGTGCTGTTTGTAATGATGCTGGTGTTTATTTCGACGGTCGCTTATTTCGAGCCACGGGTTTGCCAACTGAAGCTGCTCTCAAAGTTTTGGTTGAAAAGATGGGATTTCCAGATATCAAGTCAAGGAACAAAACTCGCGACATGCAAGGTGCAGCAAACAACACGATGGATTGCGATACCTTGAAGCTAGGTTGGTAAATGGATTAATTTATGAAAGATAAGTTAACTGTCAAAATACTATTGTATTAGGAATAACAAAGTACTGTCTGATTTTTATTGCGCAGGCTGTAGTGAGTGGTGGAATAGAAGATCCAAACGGGTAGCTACGTTGGAGTTTGACCGTGTTAGAAAGTCGATGAGTGTTATTGTTCGCGAACCAGATGGGCAAAATCGGCTTCTTGTCAAGGTACATGCATCAGTACAAGTTTCCAAATAAAAAATGTGACTCTTTCTATACCTGATTTCATTCCAGAGCTACATTTTCGAGTTCTAAAGATGATTGAATCGCAGGGTGCTGTTGAGAGTTTATTGGAGCGAAGTTCGTTTGTGCAACTTGCGGATGGATCTCTTGTTCCAATAGATGATCAATGTAGGGAACTACTACTTCAAAGACTCCATGAGATGAGTTCGAAGGGGTTGCGTTGCTTGGGTTTGGCATGTAAAGATGAGTTGGGAGAGTTTTCAGACTATTATGCGGACACACATCCTGCACACAAGAAATTGCTTGATCCAACATACTATTCATCCATTGAAAGTGATTTAGTTTTTGTCGGCGTTGTTGGTTTAAGAGTAAGTTTGCATTATACCGTTATCAATCTTCTTGCGATGCTACTTTTTGAGGATATTAAACTAATTTAGCATATAATCAAACTGATTAGGACCCTCCTAGAGAGGAAGTTCACAGAGCAATTGAGGATTGCAAGCAAGCTGGTATTCGAGTTATGGTGATAACCGGAGATAATAAGTCAACAGCCGAGGCTATTTGTAAGGAAATCGGACTTTTCTCTAGAGATGAAGATCTTACAGGTCAAAGTTTGACAGGTAAAGAATTCACGTCACTTTCTCATTCTGAACAAGTTAAACTATTGTTGAGAAATGGAGGCAAGGTTTTCTCGCGAGCCGAGCCTAGACACAAGCAAGAAATTGTGAGACTGTTGAAGGAAATGGGAGAGATTGTTGCAATGACTGGAGATGGTGTGAATGATGCACCTGCACTTAAGCTTGCTGACATAGGGATAGCTATGGGAATAACTGGAACTGAGGTAATGTAACTTTATCTATATTCACGTTACGCTGCAAACTTATATATTACGGTAATAAAGGTTAAAATAATATTTCACAATCTTATCATAATACCGCAGGTTGCAAAAGAAGCTTCAGATATGGTGCTTGCAGATGACAATTTTAGTACTATTGTTTCAGCTATCGCTGAAGGTCGAGCTATTTATAATAACATGAAAGCATTTATAAGGTATGTTGTCTCTTAGTTTATTTTTTTCCTTCCACATTCTACATTTGGATGATCTATATACAAGTCCTAGAAATTTATTCAATCTTCTTCAGGTACATGATATCGTCAAATGTCGGAGAAGTGATATCCATATTCTTGGCAGCAGCTTTAGGGATCCCAGAATGCATGATACCAGTACAACTTCTATGGGTGAATTTGGTAACTGATGGTCCACCTGCAACAGCTCTTGGTTTCAACCCTGCTGATGTAGATATCATGCAGAAGCCACCTCGAAAAAGCGACGACGCCCTTATAAGTACTTGGGTTCTTTTTCGTTACCTAGTAAGTTTAGCTCAAAATCTCATCAATTAACATTGCAAGAGTTAACTCATATATCGAGACATAGTTTCACCGTAAAGATTTTTTACACTGACAATCAATCATAATCATAAAATCACTTTGTGATTTGCTGACAACATATCAAAATAAAACTCTAACCTTGCATGGCTATACCAAAGTCTGTCATAAATTCACTTGGCTAATTTAACCTAATACTAATGCTCATCATGGCAGATAATTGGTTCCTATGTCGGAATCGCAACAGTTGGCATTTTTGTCTTGTGGTACACTCAGGCATCTCTTCTTGGCATCAGTCTTGTTAATGATGGACACACAATTATAGAATTGTCACAGCTTCTCAACTGGAGGGAATGTCCTTCATGGTCTAATTTCACCGTTTCTTCATTTGACGCTGGTGGTGGTCGCTTGATGGCGTTTTCAAATCCCTGTGACTATTTTTCAGTTGGCAAAGTAAAGGCCATGACACTTTCTCTCTCTGTCTTGGTGGCAATTGAGATGTTTAATTCTTTGAATGCTCTATCAGAAGAGAATAGCTTGAGGACATTACCACCTTGGAGGAATCCTTGGCTTTTGGTAGCCATGACAACATCTTTAGGACTACATTGCCTCATACTTTACATTCCATTCCTCTCTGAAGTGTTTGGTGTTGCTCCATTAAGTTTGAAGGAGTGGTTTTTGGTGATTCTGATATCAGCACCTGTTATTCTTATTGATGAGATTCTAAAGTTAGTGGTGAGAAGTCAAAGGAGGAAGAGAAAAGAGAAAGAAGCATGATGAAATCTCAGTTCCATTGCCACCACCACAGAATGCAAAATAGGATACTTGGGAGAATATCAAGCCAAATTCTTTGATAAAATTTGACTTTAGTTTATAGGAAAGTTACAGTTCATTAATTTATGATGACAATGAATTTGTCAACTTTTGTAATCATTTTAGAAAATCTATCACAGTACATTCTCTCACAAAACTTTTACATCTCTTTTATCTTTCTATTTCACAGTTGCATTTTTGGTGTATCCACCATGAATCCCACTCCCTATAAATGGTTGATCAAATCAAAATCAAAATAGCATTCATATTCAGTTCTATTAAACTTTATCATTTCATAAACTCCATTTAACAAAGCAAAAATTTCGCTACTTTCTGAATGGGATCTATCCTCCACAATGAACTTATGCAGTTGACCTCCCTCTTCAATGAAGCTATGTCCAGCTGTCTTTGTAATCTTGCTTCCCTTCATCACCTTCCTGAGCCTTGCAACTCCGTCCCATTGGCCAGCTGACGCATAAATGTTCGAAAGAATGACGTAATTTCCTGGATTCCCAGGCTCAACTGCAAATAAAGACTCAGCTGCTATCTCAGCCAGTTCAACATTACCATGGAAACTGCAAGCCCCCAACAAAGCACCCCATATTACCGAGTCTGGCTTCATTGGCATACTTTGTATGACCTCATAAGCTTCTGTTAATCGCCCTGCACGGCCTAGGAGATCAACCATGCACCCATAGTGTTCTAGTTTGGGAACAATATTGAAGTCTCTTGCCATTGACTGGAATATATGCTTGCCCTTTTCAACCATGCCTCCATGCGTGCATGCCAAGAGAAGTCCTACGAATGTCACCTCATCGGGCAAAGTTCCTTCTCTCTGAAACCATTAGTCACACAAAGAAACACCAATGTTAGTATCATCTAGAACTTTTTAACATGGCAAGTTAGATAGCTCAGCTAGTTTGAACCGAGTTATAGAGCCAGGGCTCAAACCAGGATAAAGGAGAAAATACTAATATAACTACTAATATGTGAAGGTTTAGAATCACTTCCGAAAAGGGTCTATTAAGCAAGTAGCTTTCTTACCAGCATTTGATCATAAAGCTCAATGGCCTTGTGACATTCTCCATGAACAGCCAAACCCATGATCATTGAATTCCAAGAGCACAAGTTTTTGAATCTACCCATCTCATCAAACACCTTCCAAGCAACATCAATCTTCCCACATTTTGCATACATCTCCAATACAGCATTACTTACAAACAAATTCTTAGAAAACCCATTTTTCCTCGCATATGCTTCAACCCTCTTCCCAATTTCAAGTGCCCCAAGATTCGAGCAAGCCGGCAAAATACTCGCCAAAGTCACTTCATTTGGAATTACATTTCCCTCCCTTTCCATCCTCAGAAACAATTCCAAAGCTTTTTCATACTGTTTATTCTGTGAGTAACCCGACACCATAGTGGTCCACGACACCACATTCCTATAAGGCATCAACAAAAACAACTCCAACGCACTTTCCATATCACCATCCCTCGAGCACCCAGCCATCATAGCATTCCAAGTGGGCAACTCCCTCACAGTCATTTCATCAAACACCTTACGTGCAAGCTTCAAACCACCCAATTTAGCATACATATCAAGCAAAGCAGTGGAAGCAAACACATCAGGTTGAAAACCTGATTTGATGAACTGGGTATGCATCATTCGGCCAAGGGAAAGAGAACCAATGGAGGTACATGCTGAGAAAAGAAAGTTGAAAGTGTATTGATTTGGTGAGTGGCCATGGAGGAGCATTTGGGAGTAAAGGGAAAAACATTGGTGTTGGTGTTTGGAGGAGTGAGATTGAATGAGTTTGTTGTAGAGAAAAACGGTTGGTTTTTGGGAATGGTGTAACACTAGTTTCGCATAGTTAAGGTTTGGTATTTCTAGTAGTTTCTCAATGAGGATTTTGGTGTTGTCTATGCCGTTTCGTAATGTGTAACCATGAATTTGCTTCACTTGGTTCATCGTAATGTTTTGTTTTTTTTACTGTGTCATTGAAATGTTTGAAAACTTTTGGTGCTGTCTTCGGAATTTCTTAAGACAAACACATCCACGTTATTTACGTATTAAATCTATTTGTTTCCACACTGAAATATATAAAATTAATAATATTCTTTTGTTAAATTCTTTCTTACCCATAAGTTTAAGTTGGGTACGTGCAAATTCTTTTAATATTTTAATTTATTTTAAAAATAAATAAATAAATAAATGATGTGGCATTAAATTAAAAATGTTTGATTGGTTGAAAGTATTGATACTTAAAAAAATTTAAAAATATCATAGGGTTCATCTATAATATCTTTTGATTAGTTACAATTATTGAAGTCCATTGGACTTTATAGCTTACTCTATTTAATAAAAAAAATTAGACTTTGACTTTTTTTATGTCTATTTAATCAACTATGTCAATATTTAACTATTAAAAAAAATATGAAAAGGTAAAATAGTATAAACCAGTCTCTATATATATATTAGAAAAAAAGACCAAATAGCATATAAAAGATTGGGTTGTCTATTAAAAAATATTTAAAATAGACTATTTGAAAATCTGAATGTAAAACGAACTTTTAAATAGACTTTTAAATTAGGTCAGAGGCCAAGAAAAAAACCAATTTATAATAGACTATAGGCCAAATTCTAGTCTTAAAAATTTATCGTAGGCAAGACTCAGATCTTAACCGACCTGACCTATTTCATCCTAGTTACCATAGAAGTAGACTGTGATCTTAGTTTAATTAGGTTATCTTTTAATAAACTATCGGGTCATCTTCATCACTATGCAAGAAGAATGGCAATGATTTCAAAATAGCAAATAATAAAACTATCAAGAAAGGGCTTTTATTAAACAATACAATACAATACAATCAATCTTCAGATGTACAAGTAACTTGAGGCGTTTAATATAGGCCTCAAATAAATAAATTCCTTCTGTCCAGTGGAGCTCTTGCCTTTGTATATACACACCAACAACCCAAACAAGAGTACTTAAGTAATTCTCCATGAGAGCTAGCCAAATGCAGAGTTTCAAAACATGTTGATCACAAGATTGATAAACATCATGTCAGGTTTTTTCGAGTTGGTGTAGAGCCAAATCAAGTTGTTGCACCAAGGCAATCAGTTATCCATTTTCGGAGATATATTTGTCGGTTCGTAAAACTGAAGGACTATTTTGACCGACGCTTACAATTTCGAGGACTAATTTGCCTATTCACTCATTTCCTGTCCAAATATGCGGTTTGCAATCACTGGTGTCATGAAGAGTTAAAACACCAAAAGAAGGTTATTCCCCTGTTGTTAGCTTAGCTGCAAAGTAAACTAAACATGAACAAACCTTTTTTTTTTCTCAGAAGTATGAAGATTGATCATGAAGAACATTCAAATGTGCCAATACTCTAGCTGACAAGGATCTAACTCTACCATTACTCCTCTGTGTTAAGTCAACTAGAGGCATTTGAGCTGAACTTCCATACAACTGTTTGAACTCTACTAGCCGAAAAATCCTTTCCAAAACATTTAGAGACTTTTCTTGCAGCTCAGCAGAGGAAGAACTGAGAAATTTTATTATCAAGGGTATTGCATTTGCGTTAGCAAGCACTTTACTACCACTCTCTAGTTTTTCATCTTCAATTAATGTTAATAAAGCATCCAAAGAAGCCCCGCAAACTCCATAATCAGATTCTCCGAGATTCCTTGTGAGTGGTCCAATTGCTTCAGCTGCCAACAGACAAAATGATGACTTGACAGTGCATATTCCTCCGTGAACTCTGCAGCCAATTTCATTTGGAGCTGAGAAGCAACATAGTAGTCCTTTTCGGTTCAGAATGGGTGTGCTGAGCCTAGCTGTACTTTTAGAAAATTCAGCGAGACACAGTGCCGCACGTTGTTTTGTCAAGGTTGTTCCACTTACAAGCAACTGCACTAAAACAGTTATAATACCCGTTTCAGCTGCAATCTTTTGCCACTCCAAGTTAGTTGGAACTGTAAACCGATGTAAGGCACCAATAGCTTCCTCTACTAAGTTACTCCTTTGAAGATCACGGTCTCTACCGTCTTGGACATACTTATAAATGATTGGAAGTAGACCAGCATCCAGAATCCATTGAGTTATTTGATCAATTTCTGGCAGATGGCATATTATTCCCATGGCAGAAAGTATTTCCTCTTTATCAGATGGAGATTCTAGGATCTGAAGTAAAGTATTGATGCACTTTTTATCAACATTCTCTAGTATGATGGCTTCATCACAGCTCTCTACCAAGCATGAAAACAATTTTACAGCACTTGCTCTTAGGTCTGTATTCTCATTCTCACACAGTTTAACCAATTCTGGTATAGCTGAGCACTGTTCATGCATAAGTACTCATTTAGTTATATTAAATTGACGTAAAAAAAAACATGAAAATAGTTTAAACATTTGGAAAGGATAAGTGCATGAACGATAAAATAGTAGAAAATAGATTTAAAAGTCAAGCATTGTAAAGTTTCAATAAAAATAGTCCATCTGTTAATATTTTGTTGGGACTATGACATGAAACGTTAATGAAATATAAAATTTAGGTCTCTTAAAGACTAACTTACCGGTAACTAGTACCCGCATTATTACAAATTACTGACAAATTAGTGCCAAAGATGACCTAAATTTTGTAAATAAATTAGTCCCCTAGCTATTTGACATTGATGCGAGATCAATGTGCAATATGACATGTCTAGTTAACACGCCACGTCATAGCATTTAACAACAGAATTTAACAGATGAACTGTTTTGAATGACATTTTATAATTTTGAGAATGTACCTATTCCAAAAAAATGAAAGTCTATTTTTACAGATGTTTATAATTTCGAGGACCAGTTTGCTAATTCACTTGAAAGCTATTTATACTTATGGTCAGTAGGAATCATACCTGATTTAGCTTGGTCTTGATATATGAAGATGAAGGTGACTGACACAAGACATAAAAGGTCAGAATAATGTTTTGTTGCACACCAGGTTGTGTCACATTGACTAAAGGAAAAAGGTTAAAAACATCATCATCAGAATCTAGTAATAAAACTAGTGTTTGGGCATCTTGAGAGGTAGCTGAGGCAGCAAGTTGCATGATTATGCCTGCTACATCTTCCCATAAACTTGATGTCTGTATGCTATGATGGAAAAGGAGGTCAAGCAACGGTCGAGCGGCACCTTGTCGAATCATTTCTAGTCCATTTCTCTTTAAACTTGATAGATTCCTAAGAGCTTTAGTAGCCACGGTTTTCATCTGAAGATCGTGATGTAAGAACAGGTGAAGAAGAGGAGCCAATACACCACCATCAAATAAAGACTCTTTATTATGGTCAGTTAACTCCATTTCTGCTAAAGTTTTGGCCATAATCATCTTTACGTCATCTGGCCCTGCATAGATAATGATATAGAAACAAGTTATGGTAAAGGGCCTGTTTTCATACAATTATGTTGTTCTTTGAATCTTAGTAATAAAATTATAACACAGGTGTATTGTACTAGAAGTTGCATACGATATCTATTTCTATGTGTTAATGTATATTTGAACATTATGGCGAAAGTTGATCTATGTAGCAGACCCCACCTAGTGGGATAAGGCTTAGTTGTTATTGCTCTTTTAGGTTCCATACATATCTTTTATAAGAAAAATAAGAGTAAAAGAACTAGCAATGGAGCACTAATACAACAAGTTAACTAATGTAGATTAAAGATTAAACAAACCTGTGGAGAGACGCTGGAGTAAATGGGTGAAATAATTTGCCTTTGCCATCAGTATAATATTCTGATCAGAGTATGAAAGATTATACAACAGCTCAGTTGCATCTCTAGCAGCTTGATCATCATCTCCGTTAGACATAGTCACCAATAGCAGTATGCAACCTTGAACTTTTCCAATGTGTTCCCGCACCATGTCATTTCTGGATAATTTAAGCAGTAATGCTACTGCTAACTTCCTTTCTTCTGGACGTCGTCCAAGAGAATGGACAATCGATTCAACTGCGTCATCAACCGTTACTATTCTTTCCTGTAGAAAAGAAAGTTTAGTCCTCGAATATGTAAACTAATATTAAAATAGAAAAATGGATAGTAATTTCATTTAAGCACCTTAGCTTCGTCATTATCATTTGCTAGAATGCAAAGGATGACAAGAGCACGATTCCTTATATCGCGGTTTTTCGAACCGAGAATTTGGATAAGAACTAGTATGTAGTCTTCAAGCATCAACCACTCCCTGTGTTGCTCTCTCTGCTCACACAAATCTTGAACAGTTTTTAGACATTCCATCACTTCATCATCATCTCCAAACTGGTGTATTTTTTCTTTCAAAGTAGCAATTGTAATCATTGTATTTCTATCTTTCCATTCTTCTATGGATTGTTTCAAAGTTTTGTTAGGTCTCAAAACCGATGTATCTAAAGGAATCAATGTCAAAGGACACAACTTGTTTCCTTCTTCGAACCATTTTTCTATTGCACTTCTCTCAAATGTTTGATCAGATGAAGTTTCAACAGGTTCCATCATAACATCGTGTGTGATAGGACAGTAAAATGACTGTAAAGGCTCTAAGATCCGAGTTCCTAAAGATTGGCGTTTCGCAAAGTATTTCAGTTTCCTTTCGCACGGTGATGAGGCTGCATCAGCTCTTTCCAATAAAGCAATGATCTGATCCATTTGCATAGCTTCGGCCTTCTTCTTATCAACACGGGCATTTTCGACTTCTTTCTTAAACTCTTCAAGTTCAACCTTCATTGTCGACCTCTCATTTGTAATTCCAACAGCCTCAGCAATGAGAGTTATTAAATTATTTGCATAAGAACGATCGACATTGTTTTCCCTAATCCCCGAGTCAATTTTCTCTAAAATCTCTTCTTCCGCTACCGCAGCCTTAAACCCAGCTCTCTCCATATTATCACAAATTTTTTCAATTTCTTTCAATATTCCAGCCGAAAGACCAGATGCAGCTAAAGGAAGAAGACCGAGCGCCTTGCTTATCTCCTTTGTGTGATTCTCTAACTGCTTTACAATGGACCTGCAATTCATCAACAGATAAAACTTGCTCTTCTTGCCACATTCTAGAGCAAGCAACTTCGCATCCTTCGTTTCGCGACTCATAACATCAATAGCACGGTTAAACGCCTCAGAATCACTCACTTTTTCTTTCCTCAATTCTTTCAAAACCGGCATGATTCTTTCCAAATAAGCACCAAGTTCCTTGAAACTATCCTTATTCACAAGCACATCACTAGCATAACACAGAAACTCACCAATGGTATCTATGATTTGAGAAATAGCAGTTGTGGTAGGACCAGAAGTAAACAAATCTACAACCATCATCTTACAATGCAGTTCAGTAATGAATAAAACAACAACTCTTTTCTTCCATGAAACAAATAACACTAACAAATGCTACCACATAATGCTTCCACACACAACCACTTCAATTCAAACACATGTGACTAAATCTGATAACAATATATAAAGAAAACAAAAAAACAGTTCATCAGATTCATTGCAGCAATATATCAAACACAAAAGAAGCATGAAAATGAGACATAAAAAAATCATCTTTCTTAATTAAAATGGAATATATCTGCAAATCGGAAGACTCTATTGACATATTCAGAGAAACCCAACAAAGGGAAGACTCCAAAGTCAACAAATACCTGAAAAAGACTTAGAGAGAGATAACAGCCATGAAAACTGAAAACCCCTTTGGAGCAAGAGAAACTAACAATGAATGATTTGAGAACAACATGAAAGGATTTATATCATTCCATTTTCAAGAAGAGTACAAATTGGAAATTGTCTTTGTTTTTTTCTCACTTTCCCAATTTCTATCCACACCTGTTTTTTCTAAGCGGTGTAGAAGAATTTTCCATCCCATTTTTCTCTTTGAGACTTTGATTTTGGGTGGAAGATAAATTAAAATTACTATATTGTTATAAATCTTAGACTAAGATTCTTAGTAACAATAAAGTTTTGAAAGTTTATAGAAAAAAAAATGAAAACGATGTTAGTGAGATTTTCAGCGTGACAAAGTACCAATAATAAATTGCCACGTACGTTTTTTCTCTTTTGTTTGTGAAATTATTTTAATAATCAGTTAATACAAAATATTTTACACTATTACATCACAATCATTCATAAATGATATTTTATAGGTGATTAAACAAAATATCAAACATATAACGTTGCAAAGTAGTGTGCTAAATTTTTTTCATACGTGTTTTTTAAAGTAAAAATGAATTAAAATTTTTTAATTTATTTTAAAATAAAAAAAATTTATAAAGTAATATGCCATGAATATTACTATATCGATATCCAATTGACATTATGAAAATTTTAATCAATATAAAAGAGTGTCTAATAAAGAATATATTAATAAATAAAATTATTATAGAATTATTCAAATAATTTTACAATATCAATATAATTCGCCAAAATACAGATTACCTGATGGTTCACCATTAATTTGATTGATTAAGAAAAACACATATTTTAATATATTTCATAAAAAATTAGTGTTTCTTTTTTCAATATATTTTTTATAATGGGACAATTTACAACTCGTAATTAATAAAGTCAAAAAATAATTAAACACACAAAAGAACCCGTCTACAATTTACTTACTTTATTTTGTTGAATTAAATTTTTAATCTTTTAATTTATTTATTAAATTTTGAATTCATAATTTATTCTTGTTACTTTTATATTTTAAAATCTATTTATATTCTACAGCTAAAATAAAATAAAATAAACTAATATTATTAGGGTTTTTTTAATTGATTTTTTTTTTTTGTAAAAAGGAGAGCCAGAGGCCCAATTTATACTACGACAACTAAAACTTATCCAATTAGATGGGTTGGTTTTAATTAAAATTTAAATTATTTAATTAAAAAAATTAGTTAAATCTTAAAAGACTATGAAATCTAATAGAAAATCATTAATTTTTTTTCCCTTCTTTTTCTTCCTTCTTCTTCTTCTTTATTTCCATCACTGTCTTTAAAAGTCATCATGTATGACATTTTTTATTTCTTCTTTTTCTCACTTCTTCTTCTTTATATCTATCATCATCTTTAAAAGTCATCAAGTATGATCTTTTTATTTCTTTCTTTTTCTCACTTCTCTTTCTTCTTTATTTCCATCATCATCCTTAAAAGTTATTATGTATGATTGATCAAAAGATAAATAACTGATATAATTGTTGTGGTCTAATTAGTTTGGAGGTTTAATTCTAATTTTCAAAATAAACTTAAATTAAAAAAAAATACAATTTTAAAAATTATGATTTATATATATTTTTAAAAATTGGTATAAAATCATAAAATTTTGAAAATAAATTATGATTCTAATTCTATCATATGTTAATTCAAATCATGTTATTGCCTAACAAAGTTTGAATCCCTCAAATTGTAATTTAAATCTACAATATAACTTTATTTTTACATGTGAAATGTAAGTCCTTGATTGTATTCCATAACATAAAATTCATTCTCACATTCTAATACTATATTAAATTTGTTTTAAATATTGTAAATTACAATTTTATTATTAGTGTAACATTCATTAAATAAATTATTTCGTTCTAGAATCATAAATGTGAAGAGATGTAGAAATTGTGGTGAAAAAAAGTTTCTGATACAACGAAATAGTGGTGTACCAATAAGATTAACATTCTGACGCTCAAGTCAGTATGTGAATAAGGAAAAAATATTTAAATTATGTTTGAAACTCGTTACCTCAAATGATGTCATTTCGTGCGTGCGTGTGTATGCGTGTGTGTGTGTGTATATATATATATATATATATATATATATATATATATATATATATATATATATATATATATATATATATATATATATATATATATATATATATATATATATATATATATATATATATATATATATATATATATATATATATATATATATATATATATATATATATATATATATATATATATATATATATATATATATATATATATATATATATATATATATATATATATATATATATATATATATATATATATATATATATATATATATATATATATATATATATATATATATATATATATATATATATATATATATATATATATATATATATATATATATATATATATATATATATATATATATATATATATATATATATATATATATATATATATATATATATATATATATATATATATATATATATATATATATATATATATATATATATATATATATATATATATATATATATATATATATATATATATATATATATATATATATATATATATATATATATATATATATATATATATATATATGAATAATTGCATCACTATCTTTCAAGTGTGAAAAACGGAAGATCGTTGGATATGCTTAGGGCATGGATCTCCTATAACTGGGTACATAATATTCTAGTGGTCAGGAGAATATTCTAGAAGTCAATTGAGTGACTGGTTGTGGCTTATACGTCTAAACTTTGGATGCTTTTTGTCAGGGTGACTGGACCAACGGAGAAGTGGCCGGGTTGAGGCGGATATGTCTGACCCAGAACAATTACCCCCAAGCCCCTGTGTTTGGTCATTAGTGCGAGGGGTTGAAGGATTTTTGTCAGGGTGATTGGACCAACGAAGGTAAGTGTAAATCTCAGTTTCCTCATTGCCAGTTGGCGAAACACTTTCTCTTGGGGAATGACTCATACGTTTATAAAGAAAGTGGATTTTTTTTGTAAAGGATTCTTTTTATAAGAAGAAGCTGGTGGACTTCGTTGACCACTTGGATTATACCGAGGGTGTAATCCCTTCGGGCGAAGCCGACAAAAAACATCTAAAATGCTTGATAGACGTCTCCTTGTTGATGTGGTCTTGTTCTCGTGAGTGTCGTGAGATTTCCTTTTCTAAAATTGAACTTTTATTTGCTCTTTATTGTTGATTCAACCCTTCTTTGCATCCGTATCAGGATAAATATTGTATTTCTATGCAGATGTAATGGTGGACGAAGTAAGGGTCCGGGTCCTAAAGTGAGGAATACAACCTCCTATAATTGTTGCGAATCTTCCTCTTCCCCCAAGACCTCCTTAAAATGTTGCTCCCTTGGCCACACCTCTTCGCTCGTGTGTGGATCTCAGCTATCACCCTGGCATATTCTGCTAGGCGGACCTTTGTCGCCTTATCCCTAACAAGATCCAACCGTTGTGAAGCTCGTTGGATAGACCCAAAATGTGAAAAAAGGAGTTGGCTGAGAAGAGCTTGAACAATTTAACTTCTCAATGAGATACATATTTAAGGAAAATGTAAAAAGTTCACGCTTTTTTACAAGAGGTGCGTAAAGTTTTAACTTCGTTCAATCTTTCTGGAACTGTCGATAGTTAGGTGATGTATCTAGCATAAATGTTGGAGAAAAGGATCTAGGTTCTCAATTCTACCCAGAGGGAGTTGGAGTTGCTGCACAATCAAAATGCTTTTCTGGACTAAAAATTGAAAGAATGTGCTTATGTGAATCTTGGTGCGGTTGTAGAGTCTTTTGATAATGCACTGCAATAAGTGGAACATTTTCATCATTCGTTGGTCGTTTCAAGGAAGCAAGTCCAATCAGGTCAAACTCTCCAAGATAGTAGGGTTGTCTCTATTCTTGACTAGGACCCTGCATCTGTTTTTTTAATAACATTGGCTCCAAGCTTTAATTACATTGTTTGTGTAATATAAGAATCAAAGAACTTGTTGAAATGAAAATTAAAGATCATTAAGCCTCTATAGAAGCACATGAATTGATAATGAAGAAAAGGAATTCAAAAAAGGTTACTGAGAAATAATTGTGGGCCAAGATAAAGAAGATGATGAAGGATGATGATTCAATTGGCTATAAAGAAAAAAAGAATTAAAAAAAATGTTTTTGATAAAAAAATTCAAGACTTAATATTTTTTTTGGTCTTGTATGTTAATCTTAGAGTTCATTTCGGTCTCTTAATTTAAAAAAGGTTAATAATTTTCCCTTAACTTTTTAAAATGTATCATATTGGTCAATTTCGTCTAACTAGCAACAGAAAAACTAAAAAATTAGTCGTTAAATTCTTGGCTAATATGATAAAAATGACTAAAGTGATACATTTTGAAAAGTTAAGTGACCAATATGGACATTTTTTAAGTCAAGGACCAAAATGAAACTTGAGGTTAACATATAGGACAAAAAAGGATACTAAACCAAAATTCAATCATGTTGCAAAATCTAGCAAGAATGAAGATGCAAGTAATAAGAATTTCAAGAAGAAAGTTAACAAGAATGATGTATAATGCTACACTGTCAAAAGTATGATAATTATGC